AAATTTTTGACAGGCAAATCTCTCAGCATAAATATCTTGAAGTTCTGAAATATGGCTCAACTGAAATCTCTATCGAACTTAATTCGAAAATGATGACCAGGCTAGCTTCCTTTATAAAAGCCAATATATGATTTTCCCTCCTTAAACATCTTTTATCTCCAGTAACTGTTTCCCACGCCAAGCACCCCCCCACACAACCCCAAAACTACTGTTAACATTGCTCCTTATATTATATTTCATTAAGTTCCATCAATTCTTCTATAATGCCATGCATGTATTTGGCGATTGAAGATTTTGTAAATGTTATGTAATGAATGAGGATAATTAATAAATAAATAAAAAAAAAAAAAAAAAAAAAAAAAAAATATATTTATGGCTCATGTCAAAGTGAACACTTTGTTTCAGGAAAACTAAACATTTTCACCGTTTTTTTGCAATTTAAATCTTAAATAACTTCACCAATTGATAGCATATCACGGATCTTTTGGGAGATATTGTATTTGAGCTTGTAAGGAACACATTGGTAGGTCAGATGTACATGTTGTTTGTATCTTTGTCACCTTCTATAGGTCTTATTCTGCCTTTAAGTACGTACAATAGGTAAATGAGCATTAATTTGCAAAAAAGAGATAACGAGATTTAATAGGCAAAATTGGAAATAAAGGCGAAAAAATGAATAGGAAACAATATGTGTACTAGGAAACAATAGATGGAATAGGAAACAATGTGAATAGAACAAGGAAAATAAGGGAACATGAAACAATGGATGCTATGGAAACATGTAAGATGAATACGTATATTGAGGTATAATGGATGAGTTAAGTACGAGACAAGTATGATAAATAGTTACACAGATAATGCATTATAGATTATAGTTAGCGCCTCGCATTACGTTGTCACTGGTCACACTATATTCTCTGGGTTGCAAATTTGCAGAATGCGATGGCACAACCTGCATAGAATATTGAAACTCAAATGCAATGTTTTCACTTTTTCAGGTTTCACTGTAATATTAGCCAGTCAGTTCTGATCCATAAAAGTTCCCATGTGAATATTACAGCCCCATTTATATACCACGTAGACATGCTATATATATAAAAAATCACCACGCCTTTGATCGTCAATTCGAATATTAGATTGCATCGCGGAAAATACCTTTAATAATCACCCTGCTATAGCATGACGGTTACGCCACCTCTGAAAACTAGGTTGGACGGCTACGTCCACTGATTTATCCAATAAAATGGCCGCGATGGAACAGAAAACTAAGGTTGGTGCATTATTTTCTACTACTGTGTATCAATGAAAGGGTGAACGATTTTTGTAAGCATCGCATTCGGTGATGCATTTAGTAATGAATATTTTGAACGTAGTCTTTGCAAATTGATGCCCGGGGATAACATGGAATAAGCGAAAAACTGTTGAGTTTAAAATTCAAAACTACACAACATTTAGTAATTTGTTTATTTTTGTCGTTAAGGCATGGTCTACATTGCCTAACGACCTCGGGGTATATAGGTGTAACCTACATACGATCATAAAAAGCCAATTGAGCATTGGAAACCACCTAATATGTTCTACTCAAGCCATAATAATGTATTTTGAATTTGTGGTTACGTAAAAAATTGATGGACGGTTACGCGAACCTCGTTCAAATATGTATTCCCGATTCATTGTTATTAATTTTGTCATATAAATCAGTACTTCTTTAGCCCATTCTTCTTTATAACCATCCATATATACGTCACCGAATGGAACTAGTTGAAAAGGAAATCGTATTTGTGAATCTTGCCTACAGGCGAGAAAGAGGACATGCTGTCTTTCCCATCCTCCATTTTTTTGCTATCGTTACCGCAAAATTTTGCAAATCGCCTTGACGTAACCGTCATGCTATAACACTGTGATAATTGGAAGATCGAATCGAAGCTCGTGAAATAGAGTCAATGTGCCCTTACTGTCTAGAATGCAATCGTTGGCCTATTGGAAATTATTGATGAACGAATTAGAGATATTTGCCAAAGGTTTATACCTTGTATTTTATTCAATTATATTTCCCGTGACGTCAACGTTTACGAAAGGACGTCATGTACCTCAGGGTGCCCATGCCTCTGATTCATTCGACAGTTTTTATATATTTTTCGGTATTTTTATATTATCTACTTGTCTCTATAGTTTGACAGAAATCTTAAAATTAACTAATAGGTTTTTATTCAGATTATTATTAAGTTTTCGTCACACAACACACCCGGATGAGACGCAAGGGATATTTTTTATCAATTTTCATAGTGTGTTGTGTTGGTAGTTTATTGTTATATTCGGCTGTTATCCAATGAATATTTTTAAATTATTAATCAGAAAATTAAAAATATATGGTATTTTGACATAAATGGCATTGGCATTTTGGTGAATAATAATAAAATTGACCATATTAAAATGTACTACAATGTATATACATATATTTACTCAATATTCCCAAGATGTCATACTATATACGCGGTGGGCTAGAAAAAAGTAACCCAAACAGACCTCGATGACTCAGTCATTCGGTATGGGGTTTTAATTAATATTTTTCGTACAATTAAACCTTGTTCAATGTTTTTTCATCAAGGTAAGTTTCATTGGGCTTTCTAATTTTAATCGTCGTGATTTTATGGCCATTTCCCCAAAACATCTAATTGAAAGCCCATGCATACCAAATGCCAAAACATATCAAAATCACCTAATACGAACCCCTAGAATTTTATCGTTGAGATTTAGTCATGGAAATTTTAGAATTTTATCGTTGAGGTTGTGTCAAAGATAATGTGTACATTAACAACCAAAGAGGCATGAGAGAGGCCTAAATATGCAGTTATATCCCCCCGCAAAATCTATGTTTAAAACGGTGAATATAGTTTATAGAGTATTTTCAACTATTTAGCTAGGCTAAACTCCTGTATTCCTGAAAGTACTCTGTAGAATGTATTTTCCCCTACATAACCTCATGTATAGCTTAATTTTAATGTATACACATCATTATTGGTGGATAAAATAGACATAAATAAATAAGCAGCGCCATCTTGAATGAAAATGTGGTAGTGAAACATGTTGAATTGTTGACATGCTAGGTATGTATTATGATAAAAATAATCATTAAAAATGAACATGTTTTAAGAATATTGGAACATTGTGACATGTACTGGTTGACCAGATTCATACGCCAATTTCTAAGAAATTTGAATAGATGGTGGGAACAGCAGGTCAGAACTTTTGATTTCCATGACTAAATCTTTTTCAAATTTTTATCACTGGTAGGGGACATATTGTTCTTGAACAATGTATACTTGGTTGATTTTCTGAAATCTTGGATTGAGAAATATATAAGTTCAATTTCGTACAATGACATGTTGGATCAACATTGTCTGTTCTAACTATGCACTTCCCGCAGAGTTGAAACAAAAGATTAGAAGGGAAATGAGAGCCATTACACAATATATCGGTGCATAGTCAGAAAACCTGATGCGTTGAGGTTTGCCTCCAAAGACAAGATCGGTATTTTTCACATTGTTTTGTAAAATGAGCATAAACTCTTGACCATCTGGAACAGACCAACGAGACCTAAGGGGATGAAAGAACATTGTATATTTATGTAATAAATGAATTTCAATGTAAGCGACATCTTTTATATATATATAACTTATTTGTAATTGCAATTTGCGCATGCGTTTCTCTAGTTCATATTATACGTGTAGAAAGGATAGGAGTGGACAGCTTTTGTATCAAATATGACTTATATAGCCCATACCAGATGACTGTGTTATCAAGATTTGTTTGGGTTACCTTTTTTGGCTCACCCTGTAGTACTTATAACTTACAATGGCATTCCCTTTCTAATTAAATATATCCAAAACATGCAGGAGTAAAAAATAATGTATTACTTTAGACCTTCGGATTTCCGCGTTTTATTTCTTGAAGTATTGTACGTTTAAACAAATGATTACAAATAAAAGGCTTTGAGTGAACGTGCATTTATCTTAATTAATCCTTTTCTCTGAAAAGCATTGCATTAATTCAAATCTAAATTCGGAAACGTAAAACTTAAATCAATAAATCCCAATTACTAAAGCTAATGAAAACACAATGTATAACATTTTTGATTATTAGAGAATTTCCGTCAGACTGTGAACATTAATATGTCACACACTGGGAGTCCATTACACTATTCATTTTCCCAGGGATAATTATTCTCCATTGCACCAACTAGAGTAAGAATTGATAATTCTTAGTCGTTTTATGCTTCAACAGGGAGCTATAGTGTATCATGATATTTAACACAAATACGAAATATTAAAGAGTCTTTCGGTGAAATTATAAAAAGTACCAGGTACGGAGGATGATATTATATGCCTACTCAAGGAAACCTATTGTACTCTCAATTATTTTTAACACCAAATAGTGCAAAGGAAAATGGTAGGAAAATCGTGATGACCCTTTCAATGCTAATCTAGTTGAGTGCATTTTATATCTCGGCAATGGACATTAATAAATTGAACAGGTCTCCACATTGTGGTATAACTCATACTATATATCTAGTAATTGTCATATTCCACTTAAAGGGCCAATATGCACGAATGCGGGGAGGGGGGTGAGGTACCAATCATTCCTACAATCCAGAAAGTTGATGCATTGGTATTTTAACAATCACTTGACATTATGTTTTTTTTTAATTTACAATAACATATTGTAAATACATAGACCATAAAGACATCATTTAAAAGTATATATTCGAAATGTTACAGAAAATATTAAACAAAATTAACAAAATCGTTGCTCACGTATTGTACATAAAGACATCGTTTACAAGAAGTATTCAAATTGGCGTCCGTAAAGTAAATTTACAATATAATGTGTAAAGTGTAAAGAAACTTATGAATAGTATATTTTCGGGTCCACTCTCGATAATTCAAAGGGTAATTGCCATTTTAGTTTTTGTTCATAGTGAATTTATATTTCCTTTCCAGTGCTCATTCTCCATATGCAGCATTGATGCGAGTGACAACATGCTCAAGGTTATAGAATTCAGAAAGAGACAGGGACAAACTGGAAGCGTACAAACATGTTACTATGATCCAGGTGATATTACGGGAGGCGCCATCTTTGAAAGGACAACCAATTGGGTGCCTGTATTCCACGCGACTGTGTGGCCATCTATAATAACTGCGATCAATGCAATAGTATGTATCATTACTTGCCATAGAGCTTGGACAAAGAGCACTTGTGTATCATTAAGAAGTACTTTTAACCGGTCAAGGAGTTCTAGCTATGCATGTACATCTACTATCCCACCTATCCAGGTAGCAACTGTATCAGGCCCTGGAGTGCTACCAGATTTCTTGCGTCAACAGCGTAGACTTCAAAACAAGCCAACCGTTACAATATAGCTTTCGTAGACGAAGGCTACCGTTGACATTATGGTTTGCTTCTAGATACCTCTAGCTCTGCGAGCCATTAATGTATCTTTAAGGTTGCGTTTTTGAACTGCCCGCGGTGCAAGTCAATTGCATAATATTATACAAATACTGGATGAGCTGGATATGGCAGAATACCTATTCGAGAAACAAATATTGGGCGAGGCGAAATCAGTTTCAACAAATTATTGGGCAGTTTTTAAAAAAGCCAGATATGGTCAAAATACCAGCAGCTTAGAACCAATCAGATTTCAGTATCTGGACAAGGTGCATGCTAATCAACAAGCTTTCTCCCTAGGTATCACAAAAAAAGAACCCATGCAGGGCAAATTACATGGTCACACGTTTTTAGCGAAAACAGCGCATTCAAGCGCATTTCCATCGCTTATCACGATGAGTCAATCTTGTTAGCTAACCGCGTGTGTCAACCGCGTCGGCTAGTTGCTAGCGCATCACAGGAGTTCGATTGCAATAAACCGTGATGTCATTCAAAAAAAACTATATGAGTGGCGCTTCAATGAGCTATTTTCTTGAAAACACATGAATATGTAATTTGCACTGCAGGGCTTATTGTTTTTAGTCTGTGATACCGGGGGCGAAAACTCATTGAAATATTACTCAATTTATTTGTACCGCGGGCATACAAAAATACAGCCTAAAATGGCTATTCCAGGTAGTAATTACATCGGACCCTGGAATACTACCTATAAATATAAAGATTTCGATCAATTTAGAGGAGATTAATGCAAGTACTAGTGCAAGTTAAAGAACAAAAATCCTTTGATGGACTTGTCCATTTTGGCAATTGATTTCATTTGAAGATTAGCAAATACATGATGTTTAATAAAATATTATGTAATATTTAAAACCATTATTACGCCGTTTACGTCTTCTTCTCAACGTATGTTATCATGATTGTGGAAAATATTAGTAGCAACAGGTAACAGTAAACAGGTAAAAGGTAACAGTCAACGTGTTGACGGTTTCATAACGTGTCCTCCACATCCAGTTACCGTACTCGCAAACAGATTCTGCTGACTCTAGAGATGTGATTTAATCAATTCATTCAGTTCTCGTATTTCTGGAAGAATTCATGAAAAGATTCGTGTTGTGGTTAAAAAGGCGTTGGACTTATCCTCTAGATATATGCATATTGCACTGGCGGATCTAGAAGCTAACAAGGGGTGGAGGGGGGGGGGCAAATTTCAAATCTCTGGGTCCCTAAATCCAAATTTTGAACATTTAAGGCCCAATGTTTGATAATTTGGCCTAAAAAGGCCCGCATGTAATACCCAAAAAGGTCCACTAATTGAGGCCCTACACAATTTTTGAGCCCCAATTTTTTTTCTTGACCAGCCAGAAAGGGACCCCCTGGATCCGCCTGTGTATTGTAACTGGAATTGTTATCAAATTTAATTTCGTATTTTAGAGTTCAGAATTGTTAGCCGCCAAACTAAAACTATTTTTTCTAAAAATGACTAATTGATAAATTGCCAATTTAAAGGTTTACCATAAAATGAAACATATTTACATTGAAATTAGCATGAATGAAGAGTGATTAAAAAGCAATGCTAAGAGATATTTAACCCTAATGTCTGCAACCCTTTTTTATTACACCTAAGTCGCAAGGGGAATGGGTCCTTCGCGAGTTTTCATTACTCTGATTTCAACAATGTTGGTAACGTTTGTAAACCTTATTCAATCAACTTCAGAAAAAGATTGCATTCTTGGAAAAAGTAGGTCAACAAAAGTCAAATCGAGGTCAACGGGACCTAGGAGGTGTAGAGTTTTGACATTAAAGAATTAGTTAACCACCCCAGATTCCCCATTCTTCAATATCCCCAAGGGCAAAATAATTATGGTGGTTCCTGAAGGGAACCCAACCTGCAGAGGGTGTAGTGCTATTGAAGTGAGAGATACATGTGTCTAAATAGTAAATATATACCTCATACTCTTGTAAAGGTTCCTGCGTCTGGTAATGACACTTTTCCAAATGAACTCAATAGATGTATTAGTCATAGTTATAACATTTATTTCTTTGGGAGCATTCACAGGGACCAAATATAAATGTTACAAAAACACTTTTTTAATTTGTTAATGGGTGTTCATGGAAATAAAGTATATACTGTTGTATCATCATATAAATTGTCTCACTCTCTTGAATAATTTATCACCTAAAATAACAGCCTTATCATAAAAATGTTATTGAACACCGCGTATCAAATTTTACTTGGGAAAGGATTAAAGGATCGCTACGATTCAAAATCAAAGTGGATAATTTGAAGCTGATTATATAATTGATTCATTTTGTATTGACAATTGGATGTGGATGTCCAAGCCAGAAATAGAACATTAGTTGATGGAACGCTAATTCACTTGATTTGAGGAATTTCAGAATGATGGGAAATATAACATTTAATCAAAGCTCAGTCATACTTCCTTATTTTGGAACTCATGAAAATATAAGTTTAAGTTCCGAAAATATTTCACAGCCACGAAATACAACCTATAAGGACAACCAGTTGGACGTCTTTCGATTTGTAGTTAACAACGTGTTATCATTTATTGTAATAGGACTTGGACTTATTGGAAATACAGTAGCATTCTTGGTGCTTTCAAAGGAGAAAGTTTCGACCACGAGAGTATTTCTTCTAAAGACGTTAACAATAACAGATTCATCATTTCTTCTACTGGTGGTTCCCTTAATAATAATCATGAATCACCGGAATGAATTTATGAAGTTGGGAGCTATTGATGATCACATTGACTTATCTTTAGATGTACTGCTACCAATCGTTTCATCAGCATCTACCCTCACAATTTGGATGGTTGTCTTAGTGACCATCGACAGATACATACACATAACGAGGCCACTACAAGTAAAGACATTGTTAACCGTCAAAAGAATGAAATGGACTGTTGGTTGTTTGGTTGTTGGAGCATGCCTTTTTAATATACCAAGAATCTTTGAATGGCCTGGTGATACTTGCTTATTGCAATGCAGCTCAAGTTACACAATTATATACGAAGTTATTTTAAATGCAATTTTTAGGTACTGTGGACCTGTTGTAACAGTGTTTATCCTTAATGTAAGACTAGTTCAGTCCATTATAAGTTCTCAATCTAAACGCAAGGAGCTGACAAACAATGAACTAGAAGAAAGAAATCATGTCATTGTTATGATCGCCATTGTTTCATTATTTGTAATATGTTCAATCACCAATATGGCGAAAGGAATCACAGATATGCTGATATATTATGATCTTATTTCAGCTCCAAAGTTTTCGACTGCAACACTTTCCAATTTTTTCCTCATATGTAATTCTTCGTTTAATTTCGTAATATACTTCATGATAGGAAAATCGTTTAGGAAGAGGTTAAAACAATTATTCATGAGAAAAAACAACTAAACAATATAGACTAATGTCTTGAATAACAAATCATAAACATTTATTGTATGAAATGCCAAATAAGTGCAACAATACATTAGCCTAACACTGAAGGAACAATAGACTGAAACGTAATTTTGTTTTTTTGTACAGCTTAATGTCCTTATATTAATTGTATTTGCACCCAGGGGTTGAAAAAGCAGGCAGCATGCAATCTCCCGTTGATTTAGCAATTTGCTATTTCCACTTCTTTTATCTTCCTGGGTCATCATGTGTTGTGTTTTCATTAAACTTATTTAAATCAGGGGCTGAACGAGTGGGGTATTTTTATTCGGAAATGGGTTTTATTTCATAGTACAGGGTGACCGGAAAAAAAGGAGACCATTGAAGTAATCAATTTCTCCTAAACTAGACAAGTGCCATCAATGAAATTTTGCATACACTGGAACAGTTATATGGAAATTTGTTACTGAAGGTTTCAATACAAGCATTCAACTGGTTCAGGAGCTATGATCATTTACATAACATGCTCCAAATAGGCACAATTGAGACCAACGCAGAGTTGGATTCATATGGCAAACTACCCTTACATGTTCTGCCCTCTATGGCATTATTATGGCATTACATATAGCAGTGATTGCCTTCTTTAGGTCAACAATAGTCTGAGGATTGTTTTGGTATAGATTGTCTTTCAAATATCCATACAAAAAGAAATCAGCAGGATTCAAGTCTAGGCTGTAATGGCAATGAAGGGTTATCTGACATGTGGTTCATCATCCTGTTGCCAAAGTGCTGATTTACCAAATCTTAAGAGTCACTTTAGGTATTGGGCATAGTGCCATGTTACTAAAACCACTATATGGCACAATTAAATCCCATATGAAAACCAAGGGCTGCCCAAAACCTCCTTAGGATGATACTGTAACTGAGTGGGACCACTGAGTCAGAAGCCATAGGTCAGATAAGCTTCGTCTCCATACACCTCAAATTTGAATCCACCTGATTTCTTTTTGTGGGGCAATTTGAAAGACAATGTGTACCAAAACAATCCTGAGACAATTGCTGACCTAAAGGTGGCAATAAATGCTAAATGTAATGCCATAACAAGGTCGGAATATGTAAGGGTATTTGCCAAATGTATCCAGCTCTGCGTTGGTCTCAATTGCGCCTATTTGGAGCATGTTATGTAAATGATCATAGCTCCTGAACCAGTTGACTGCTTGTATTGACACTTTCAGGAACAAATTTCCATAGAACTGTCCTGATGTATGCAAAATTTCATTGATGTCACTAGTCTATTTTAGGAGATATTGCCTATTTCAATGGTCTCCTTTTTTTCCGGTCACCCTGTATGTGAAAACGTTTTCTTACCTTAGACTTTCTGGCGATATGCTAATCACGTTCTCAGTATCGGGGAAAGATTCCATTGTTATAATTTGATAGCCATCCATCTAGTTTTTCCAGAATATGGGGTTCAGAAATATTGTGATTTTAAACAAAAAATTGTGATTAACCCACTATGTTTTGGGTGTCAATTTGTACGGAAGGCGAAAAGGGAACTCCGCAATATGAATAATCAAATGGAGTTTTACCATTTTAGTGATATCTCGCAATGCGAGGTCAATCTGATCATCCCGCTGGTCTCGGCACAAATGTTTTCTGGTTCGAAAGCTTTTGTGCCGAGACCTGGGGTGTATTCGAAATA